GTTTCATATACTGTGTGGTAGTACATTGAAACTTGTGGAAAGAAAAAACTTTCACTATCATACAACCCAGAACTGTAGATCGTATTGTTTGAGGTAGGGATGCCCAGAGCAGCGTAACTGAGCATGAGCAGCTTCTCCCAACACCGTCGCTCAAGCTTCTTACTGACGTTTGCAGAATTGCACAGACCATGTTTAATGAGGACTTTGCTGTGTTTAGAACACTTTCTTCACTGGGTTAGGCACCTCTTATCTTTTAGAATCTTTTAAAAATCTTTTCTTACAAATCAGGGCACATTTGCCTTTTGTTGACTGACACACTAGGAAGGACGCTGCAACAATATAAGCAAAAGTAGGAATTTTCCTGATGAGGTCATTTAGGACTCTGTTTCTTTTCCAACTATACCTTTTTTCCAAAAATACATAGATAGTCTTACCATGAAAGAACATGAATACTCCAGCAAAATCCCTACCTTCTTTTAAGTCAGTAGGAGTTTCACTATTGACCTACAATTTGCGCAGGATTTTCTTCTGGGTCATTGGGATTAAAGACAAGAATAGTACTCGAAGCGGTTACTTCAGCTGTAGAATGACTCAAGGCCCCTGCTGATTCCCTCATGCTGGCATTACTGTGAGAACCAGAACTTCGAAGACTATCTGTGGCTTTACACATGAAGCTCTGGATAATGTTTCATCTCTTTACTTAAGCATCTATGAATGCATGAGCTGGCCCTTATTAATAAAGTTATGTATTTTAAAGTATCAAAGTCAGGAGGGTTTAATGGATAAAAGGAATCTTTTGCATGATTGCACTTTGGTTAGGGACTTCAGAGTGAACACATGAAGGTGGAAATACTACTAACAGGAGATCCTCAAGTAGCTGTCTGAATTATTACATAGTTAATTTGAGTCATCCAGAATACAAAAAAAAAAAAAAAAAAATTTACAAGGAAGTTCAAAAGTAGCAAAATGCTGCTAGACAATTACCAAATTCTTCTGTTCAAAATGAAGTTTCATACAGGAATAAGAGGTGATATTTAATTAATAATTCATAAATAGTCTTTTATAAGGTGATATTTTGTGTGATCTTCCTTTAACTGTACTTTTTATCTCAGTTCAGAATTATTAAAAGCTGACCTGGAACAAAAGAAAAAGATACTTCTAATATGAAATTAAAGTACCTGCCTGCACAGTAAGGATTGCTTATTGCACTTAAATTCATCTTCTAACTTAATTCATAATGACTTTCTTTTTGGAACAAGCCATTGGAGTTGCAGGTCTTAGTTTATATTTTAGAGGAATTGGTAGGATAAGGATGGGAATTCAGCCTTACTGATTTTTAGCTCCATCTTGTTTCCACCTTGTAAGAGGACTGGTGACTGTGGTCTCAGGACTCTGTCAGCAGTGCTCTGCACATCTGATGTTCATAGTCAGTTACTAAACTTTAGATAATTGGCTATGTGGGTGACACGACTAATTAGCCTCAAGAATAAGACCAGTACTGAATGGAGATGACTATTTAAGTTGTAGGCTTGGACAACCTCAGCACTTCTTAAAGTTTGGCAACTGCCTTCTGGTCTGCAGAGCACCTCCGTAACGCCCGGTGACCACTGTACAAGCTTTTGCATGCCCCTGCGCACATCCAGCCCAGCTTTCGGTCGCATGAACAGGGAGGCTGTTCCCATAGTGCCTGTTTGTGGAAATCACCAGATGAATGAAGGATTTCTTGAGCCTTTTTAGATAATTTTTGAGCTTTCTGTGAAACTCAAAAGCCAGAGTGGGTGTCCTGGTTTTGGCTGGGATACAGTTGATTTTTTTCCTAGTAGCTGGTAGTATTGTGTTTTGGTTTAGGATGAGAATAATGTTGATAACACACTGATGCTTTAATTGTTGCTAAGCAGTGTTTACACTAAGTCAAGGTTATTCAGCTTCTCATACTGCCCTGCCAGCAGGTTGGCTGGCAGTGCCCAAGAAGCTGGGAGGGGACACAGCCATATGATGTCATGGTCAGTATATAAACTTGGGGGAAGCTGGCTGGGGGCCACCATGGCTCAGGGACTGACTGGGCATTGGTCAGTGGGTGGTGCACAATTGTATTGTGCATTTCTTGTGTATTCTATTATTATTACCTAATTATTAATTATTAATTATTGATTATTGATTATTGATTATTGATTATTAATTATTATTTTCCCTTCCTTTTCTGTCCTATTAAACTGTCTTTATTTCAACCCATGAGTTTTACTTCCCCCCCCCCCCCTTTTTTTGACTCTCTTCCCAGAGGGGGGTGGGGAGGTGAGAGAACTTCTGTGTGGTGTCCAGCTGCCTGCCAGGTTAAACCACAACAACGGAAGAAGTTGCTTCTGAAGGCACAAGCCCTCATAATTTCAGAATAAAGTTTCAGAAATATTTTTGGGTCTCATTTTTCATGTTTGAAAATGAGACATTTGTAGGAAATGCAGGTGGTACAGTAAAAAGAGTTTGGGGAGAGTTCTGTGAACCTTTTGGAATTATAGAATTGCTTTATTAATTCAAATAAAGATATTTTAGTGATCCTCTTCATCACTAGAATTCTTATTGAGAGGTGCCACAAAGTACTAGCAGCAGCTAATCCATCACACATTGTAGATTTTGAAATAATTTATCTCTTAGCCATTATAATGTAAGCCTTTCCAGGAGAGGCTTGGCTGTGCAAATATTCATGACAATGTGAGAGTTAAGCTTGTTTGGTTCCTTTAAACGGAACATTTTGACATGGGCAAGTTGTAAAATCTGATCTACAGATAGAGGTCACTGTACAGACACGTAGTGTAAGGTTTAGCAGTGAGCTGTGTATCTGTAGGTAAATAAAAAGGAATGCTTTGTGAAATAACTCTATGGCCTTGCTTAAACTGATGCATTAGTTATGTCATTTCAGGGTTGTGATTTTAAAAAACAACAACAACAGCAACAAAACACACAAAGATAAATAAACGCCAACCTAGTTACTTTTTTCCCAAGTAGGACTGAGTACAGAGGAGGTGTACTATACAGTTCATTCCAGTTGAAATAGTAACTTCTTGTGTATAAATAAGGTCTGTGTAATAGCTTGTATTAGGTTGAATTTTTATGCATTGTTACTATTATTTAAGAAGACTTTTTGCTAGAGTTATATAGTTGTAATTTATTGATTTACTTAGGAAATATTATGCAGCCAGCATGCCATATGCTGAAATTTATCATGGTGTGTAACTTTTTCTTTTCCAAATTGTACACCACATCTCTTTCATTTATAATAAAAACATTGCATAAATTTTATTAAAAGACTAATCTATATTTGAATGTGGCACAGCAATGTCCAATCCAATCAGTTTAGGAGCTATCTTAGAATATAATTCCAGTTTGTTTTCATATATTAGTGATGATGAAAACATGAAATATGCAGCTATGTCTTTCTATTAGATGTCCAAATTTGTCTTTTTGTTGTCCAATTACTTATGAATTGAATAATAATGATTAAAAATATAGTTACTAACTGCAAGCCTGTTTTGAAGAATCCATCAGAAAGGGTGCATTTGTCAGCCTGCAGAAGCCTTCTCGTGATACTTGCAGTGCAATGTCTTTTTGACTTTGGAATGAGCTTGGATCTCACCATCCCATTGAAACAGGACAATCTTTGCAGACAACGTGCAAAGGAAGGACAGGAAATTCATTTGACTGTGAAACACTGATGTAAAAATATCAACCAGATAAAGAGAAAAAGGGAAATTTTCTCCATGTATAATTCAACTGCAAAACTTGATGTTATCATCTGACAGGGAAGTGATCTTTAATGTAGAAGATTAGACAGCAAATCAGCCAAACCCATCTGTTATGACATTTGGTTTCCTTAAGATCCATATTCTCTGCAAGTTCATAGAACTGGCTGAAGTTACCAGGAATGAACTATATCATGACTAAGACACAAATATTGTTCTAATCACTGGACCATTTGAAGAAAACTAATTTAAAAACTTTATTAATATACTCATTGCTGGCAACTAATACTTTTTAAAAGGTAATTAATAAAATCAGTCTTGTGAACAATAGCAATTATCAACAGATCGCCAGTTACTTACAAAAATAGTGTGTTGGGAGCTTTTTGGGACATTGTAGAAGTGTTGTTCTTATTGTAATGTATTTAGTTTTGTACTACTTTGTATATATCTGATGCAATATCTGTGCAATTAATTTGCAATTATAAAAATTGCATAAGAAATAAAAAGAGACTTTCAAGTTACATGAATGAGTCATTTAAAAAAACCCAGTTTTTCTGAATTTAGTTCAAGACAGCCCACACCAGGGTGAATGCAGAGAATATCAACATCTGTAAAAGATCTTGAGTCTGATGAATTTGTTGGTCTTTAAAACATTTGTCTCTCTGTAGAGAATACTGATCTTTGATTTCCAAAAGCTGGGCTGCTTTTTTTAGCTGTAACTATATGAGGCATAAAAAGAGAAGCTTCAAGGAGGATTTAGCACATTACTTTACACTAGGATTTATTATTTTTTTTTTTTAAATCTGCTTTTTTTTTTTTTTTTTTTCCTGTGACTTGATATTCTGGGAATTGTTTGGAGAAAACCAATGGAGTTTTAATCCTGCAAACATGTATTGACATGTTTAACACTGTGCACATGGGTGGTCACTCAGTTTTGTAAAGCTAAGCAAATGAGAAAATATTTGCTGAACTGGAAAGTGTAACCAAGAATATCTCCTGACCTTCAATGATATAGCATAGGCCAGGTGTCTCACTAAACAAAAGCTCTTTGCCTGCAAGCAGACAAACTAGCATAAGGTCTAACACCTATTTCAATTTCATGGATGTTGTGAATGTGAAATTTATTCTGTAAAAGACATCAGATTGGGAATTTCACCAAAGAACTCCAATTACCATGATTTGAACTGCAATGTAGAGTTCAAACCTGACATCCTGAGCCAGGCTCAGTCGAGAAAATGAAACAGCACTTCTTCTCTGGCTCTGCAGATGAAAGCATCGTGAACAGCACAGAGGCAGCAGCTGAGACGTCAACATGCATTCAGGGCCAGGGTGAGGGTTACCGTGGCACCGTCAACACCATATGGAGTGGGATCCAGTGCCAGCGGTGGGACTCCCAGTTTCCTCACCAGCACAACATCACTCCCGAGAACTTCAAGTGCAAGTGAGTAGACATGTGGGTATTACTGCAGTGGGAAAAGAGCTTGGTTTGCAAATGTTTAGAAATTTATGCCACCAAAGTAGTCCATAGGATCTCTGTCCCTGCTCTGGGACCTGATGTATTCACTCTACTTGCTGATGCTGAAAACTAGTTCCCATGTTCAATGGGAAAATCAGTTCTTCAGATCTCAAAATATTAGTTCTAGATCAACTTGTGTGAAACTATAGAGGTTTTTATGAACTTTTTCTTCAAGCATGAATTCACCCACTTAATTGATTGTGAAGTGTGTGGATGTTTTCCAGACTGGGACCTGAATCCCAATAGTGCTGGTACATTACTATTGTTTTTCTTTCATGGAGGTAAGTACTTGTTTGCAGTTTGGTTACTGACTTTAACTTAATATGTCCTAAATGTTACCTAAGTGTAATCTGCTTGGCAATACTTGACATTTATAATATTTGTCAAAACTTATTTTCCATCTTTTAAATCCTTTTTCTGTCTCATTATTAAATGTACTTGCATGAATAGGACTTCTTTTACCTGAAGGACCACTGGTCATCTAACCTTTCTGTACAGTTCATAAACTCCCCAAATGGGGAAAATCTACTTATTTCAGGCAGTTACCTTAATCATGCTTTTTCAGCCCTTTTTTCACTGAGCATAGAGGAAACCTAGCTTATCTGCATGGACCTAAAGCCTAGTTTGTACTACTTTACTGATGGCTAAATATCAATCTGGGCTTCTGCTGGAATTTAATAGTGTAAATCTTTCAAGGTAAAGAAAAGATTCCAGTCTGAGTCCGGATTATGTTTCTAACAATAGCTTGTTTGAGCAAAACAGTTAGGTTTGTTGCTTTAATCCTTTCACTGCTATCTTCAGTTTATTGATCAAATACCGTGCATTGTAACACATTACTGAAAATATAACAATCATCATCATCATAATATAAACTAGGACTGACCCTGAGCCTCCTCTGTCAACCTCAGGACCACCTTGAATTCACCTGGAATTTACCAGTGCTCAAGCCTGATCCCACCGGTTTTTCTCAGACAAACCACCACCAAAACCAATTTGGTCTGTACCTCTGTAACGCTGGTGCAGGATTTGGCCCTTGTGCAGTTTTAACAATGTTCCTATCAGTGTACAGGGGCTAACGATGTTAGGACTGCCTATTCAACCAGTGCTTGAGGGCGCAGTGGCTGTTGAGGCCAATAGCTTGAGTAATATCCACAGAACCGCTGGTACGACTGTTCAAAACTCACATAAGTAAGAATTACAGTATTAGGCCCATTCTTTCCATAGTAGGGGCCCACTTATCAGTAAGTGCTGCAGACAGTAAAATACAATGAAATATGGAGATGCACAGAACATGGCAACAACTGTCAGGAGATGGGAAAATAAAACTCACATTTAAGAGGTTTGCCTATCTCATGAAGCTGTGAGAGACATTTAAAGATGTTCCCTTGTGGCTAACTTTTACTTTAAAGGTAACAGCTGTATAGAATTTCAACATACTTTTTTTTATAGTCCAAGATTCAGTTTCTTAAATGAATCACTGACAGTCTACAGGACTCTTTCTCTAAACTTAGCAGAACTATTCAAAGTACAGGGAATTTTAAGCATTTTGGTAATGTTTGTATTTAAAAGCACTTGTAATGGATTGCAGGTGTATCCAATGTCAGCCTGCATGCAAATTTTGATGGAGATACCTGAATAAAAATAAGCTATATTGAAAATATTGTTGATCTCAAATGAAGTCTTATATCCAGTCAAAACATAGGTCCACTGAAAATGAATTCCCATAACCATATTCTCATTACAATTACTATATCTTTCTGGACTCTGTATTCTTACTGGGTCCTCATCTCCTTGCACTTGACACTGATCAGTAATGTACAGACCTTAAGGAGCCTCTATTATCGCTAATTCATAATAAAAAGCGATAGAATGCATCAGTGGTTTTAGGTTATCCCTGCTGTGAGCTAACGTATTTATTTTTATAGGGATTTGAGGGAGAACTACTGCCGAAATCCAGATGGATCCGAATCACCCTGGTGTTTTACTACTGACCCAAACATCCGGATCGGTTATTGCTCCCAGATTCCTAAGTGCGATGTATCAAATGAACAAGGTAACAGAGGGAAAGGCAATAACATGATTTTAAGTGAATGCTCTACTCTTCCGAACGGCAGATAGGCAGGCTTGAAAACTGGAGAAGTTGGTCTCGGTACATCTGTATTACACCTGTGTAGTTCCGCTTTGGCTTTATTTGCATACTTGGGATTCATCATGGTGTAAATGAGATTCATTTCTTAGTTCACCTTTCAATTCTAGCAGAGAAAGCTGCAGCAATGATTTTCTGCTGGATCTGATTTTTAGACAAGGTAAATCTGCATGTCACTTTATATTAGCTGGAGATTTGCTCCACTGTCTTACCTTTCTTAATTTGAAAGGCCTTTTTCCAGAGCTGAGATGATTTCTTTGGTTCACAGTCTTTTTATAATTGCATATGAGGATACTAAAAGCAATTTATTTTTTTTTCCCATATACCCCTTTGCCTAAAAGGAGTTGAGCTGAAAAAACCTATGTGGGACTTCCCATATAGCCTCTGAGCTTCAAGCTGTTACCTCTGCCGGCAAAGTCCACTCTGAGTCAGGCAAATGTTGTTTTTCCCATGAGGTCTCATATTACTCTAAGGAGTATTGTTGCATCCTGAGAACTGATGTCAATCATAGCATAAACTGAGGCTAAGACTTCAGACCTACGACCCTACATCAAGCTGCATTAAGATTTCCATCTTTAAATTTTAGCCATTTTTTCTCTTAGAATTTGAAAGAGTTGCAGTTGCAAGAGTTCTGTTAGAGCATGGATTAAACTTTGACTTTCATTCTGTGTTTTTTGTAAAGTATCAATTATCAAAAAGTAAAAATACTGCTGAATATGAAATGAAATGTTTCATACAAAAAGTCTTCATAGTAGTGATCATTTTAAACAATCCTCTTGAAAAGTTTCAAAAAGGCTTGTGCTAAAAGCTTATGAATTAAACATGACTTCTGCTGATTGAGCAGGCAAGTTTTTGAATTACATTAAAATTAAAGTCATGTTGATTTTTTGATTTTGCCAAGGCAGAACTCAAATCTAGAATTATATTCTGTTGCCAGTATTCAGAATCTACACAAAGGTAAGTAAGTTGCTTCAAATAGGCTCAGAGTGCCTGGTTTTTGAGGAGGGAGGATTAAGGGGGCATTTTTACTTTGTTTTGTATAAAACAGCTCCTGACAACTTTTAGAATATTCTGTGCAACACTTCTAAATTAACCATAAGCTAACTATTTATGAAAGAAATTTTTCCAGTTTATCTAAGTAAGACAAAATTTAAAATGCTATTGTGTTGAGGATGAAGGCCTCAAGCAGGAGATTATGTATCTAAATTTGAAAACTTTCTCCCATTTTCTTTCTGATTTGATTTGTACAGCTGTCTGATTTATATTGTATAGTGTTTGCTAAATATAACACTTGTCTTTAATTATTTGGATTACTGATGGAAAGGAAGAGTTTTCTTTTCAATGTTGCACAATCACCCTTCACTTCTTTTTGTCTCAACATTCTTATTCAGATTGTTATCGTGGCAATGGCAAGAGTTACATGGGGAATCTATCCAAGACAAGATTTGGGCTAACTTGCTCCACATGGGACAAGAATATTGAAGACTTACGTAGGTGTGTACATATGAAATAGAAAGAGATGGTTCAGTGAGTCCTGAATAAATACTACCTCCAGATGGCATCTCTCTTTCTTCTGCAGTGATTCTAAAATAGCCCCTTATGCCCTGGAGCTTTAGTATCTTTTTTTTTTTTTTTTTTCTCTCTTGGTGTTTAAATCTGTTACACAACATGTCTTTGTTCAGACTAACCATTAATTGCAGGCTTTGGGATGTTTCTTAGTGTTTATTTTACTGGCCTGGTTTACCCCATCTTTGTCCTTGAAAGTTTTGTTCTACGGGAGGATAGCAGGAATAAAGCAGGAAATGGTTATCTCATCAATCTAATCACATAGCTCAAGCTGCTTCAAGCAAGAGGTTGGTCTTGAAACCACCTGAAGTCCCTTGCAACCTGAAATTGAATCATGAGTCTATCATCTAATGACACTGACATCAAATGCCATTAAAGCGACTTGTAGTTTCTGTTGTTTATCATCACTTTGGCTTCATATTCAAGTAGTGGAAATGTCAAGTTACTTTTAATTTATTTGTTAAGATAAAAATGAATCCGCAGTAAGCACAAAGGAAGTTGTGAGTTTTCAAGGCTTTTTCAGTCATGCCAGGATCCTCAGTGTTGTCTCTGCATGTTCAGAACTGTAGATTAATGAATCTCAGGAGTAACAAGAACAATGACTTTCAGATACTGCACAAAGACAGAGATTCATCAAAAATTTTGCTATGTATGAGATAGGCACGTTAATGGCCCAGATCATAGATTCATAGAATCATAGAATGGTTTGGGGTGGAAGGGACCTCAAAGATCATCTAGTTCCACCCCCCCTGCTGCGGACAGGGACACCCTCCACTAGACCACGTTGCCCAAAGCCTCATCAAAACAGTTTTCCCTTTGTTTTCCTTTAGTTTCTGAAGTCGATGTGATTATGTCTATATTACCTTTGGTACTCATTCATGATCACCACTTTCATAGTGCCCCACATATTCGCCATTGCCCTCTTGAATTTGACTGTCCCTGATTCCTGCTGCTGACCTGATGGTCAGTCAGGTGGAAGCATGTAAGTCAGTAAACCAGCCTTTGAGGAAGCTGTATGGCAAAAGGCGGACTTCAGTGGCACTGTCTGAAATCACCAACTGGTCTACATGTGGATTTCCCTGTACGGGGTCAGAGACAGCATACATATTCCAGTGTGCTGTCCATGTAAGGGAGGCAGAGGTTTAAGATCATGACTTCTGAAAGCTCTGATAAGCCTTTAGTTAGCTGTGAGTGAGACAGCTTGAAGCTACTAGATGCCTGATGCAATTGCATTCGTATAATCTTGAGCACAGATCAGACTTTCTTCTCTCACTCCCACAAATTTTCCATCTGGGAACTTCTTTGGGATGTTCTCTTTCTCACTTCAGCAGTTACTCTGGTTATGGGTGTGCTAGAAGCAGCACACATGGTTGGTTATGAACTAAAAGAACAGTGCAGCTGTAACTTAGGAAGCCTGTATGCTTCTGTCTGACACGCCAGAAATAAACAGCTTTCTCTGCTTCAGATTGTCACCCCAAAATTTCACCTTTAAAGGGCCTTATGTATCACTGCAGTTTGTCTGAGCCATTCATCCTTCTCCTCCCCTGCTGCTCGGTCTTGCTAACTTTCTTGTCTTTGCCTGAGATTCAGCTTTCTGTGCAGGTTCAGTGCTCCCTGGTGCTTACTGTTACTCTGCAGGGAGAAAGTACCTGTGCTCGCAGAGAGGTCTGCAGATTTGCTGAGGGCAACGCAGATGCTCTTCTAATCAGTGTAATGATCCCTCCTGTGGGTACCCAGGGATTTTAGCTCAAGCGGGAGATCTATAAACCTCCCAGCTGCCTGGTGGACACAGTGCTTAAAATACCAACCAGAGGAAACTTGGACCCAATTCGAGCAAATATTTGGGTCTCATCTTCCCTTTGATTTTAACCAGCCCTAAACCCTGACCTGTAGGCTTCTCAATCAGCTAATATTACAATGATGTGGAGCAAAGCAACATTTAACCTTTGAAAATTTGGGCTATAGTATAAAGCTTTTCAACACTTTGAATTTTTTTTCCCTGTAGGCATATACAAATATTCAGAGAACCAGATGTTAGTAAACTGAAGAAAAACTATTGCCGCAATCCAGATGATGATTTTCATGGTCCCTGGTGTTACACAGATGATCCTCTTGTTCCCTGGGATTACTGCCCTATTTCTCGATGTGAGTATTTGGTATGCCTCAGGCATTGTCAACTGCAGTCCCAGTGAAGCCATGGTGTCACATGCATATGCATACCTTTCTGTTGTCACTTGTGGCAGCAGAAAATGTGTAATTCTATCACGAATCAATTGTGCATGACTGAGAAGGAACGGACAGAAGCTGCTTGTGCAATATATGAACAAGGGGTCCTTTTCCTTGACCAGCTTGGAGATTTCAAGGCTTATTTATGTAGCAGGAGCATAAAAGGGCTATTACAGATGGTCAAACATTTTCCAACAGATCCAGCTATTGAATGAGGGCTGGATGGAGACAAAGAATTGTCTAGTGGTCAGAATGCTGGCTGTGGCCTCAAGAAACCCAGGGACAGTTATCTTCTGTGCTACAAGCTTCATAGTGTCTTTGTGTGATCTGTATTTGTTTGTAAAGTTAGGATAACTCACTGTATGTATGCCAAAGTGTATATGTGCTATATGGATTGGATTCTGCTTTTGGATGTTTATGGGGTGATTTAACTCCTGGCAAGAATTAGGAACATCACTTCTCCAAAGTTGCATGTTACAATCTAACTAGCTTGAATAAACATAATTAAAAACCCTAGGGAATTCAGTAATAAACTGACATTAAGTGGAAAAAGATAGATTTATGCTGAAAAATGTGCAATTCACACTGATGTTCAAAATTTTTCTCTTCAATTCTTATTTCTGAATCACTGAGCTGTATATCCTGGGAGAACATTTAAATGGTAAATCAGGCTTTTGAATGCCTGTCTGTGATCTCTAGAGGTTAAGGATAATGCTGTATTCATTCCTAGCAGCAATCTGCTGCATTTCCTCGTAGTCTGAACTGCAGCATGTCTAAGAGGTGATATTTGAAGTCTCAGGTGATATTCTGGCATCTATGTGAAAAGTAAACAAACTGTACAAAAGGTTATTTGTGTCAGTGTAGATAAAGAACAACAGATGAAGAAATATAAACATTATTCACTCTGAGTTCATTATCTGGACTTATGAATCCCTAAGGAAATATTCATGGCAAGCATTTGTAGGGTATATGGCAATTGTGGGTATTGAGATTTCTTGAATCAAACTACAGAGCTGGAATATGTCTGGTTTACAGTTGTAACTTGTGTGGACTAGTATTAAACTACTAGTAGCTCACTCAGGTACTGATAACCAGCTTAACCAGTACAGAAAAACTGCTGGCAATTCCCAAGTGTACTTGATGCCTTTAACTGGTCTCTTCAAACTGCACTCTCTGTGTTTATATGTATACATACATACATACATATATACATATGCACACACACACACACATATGTGTATACACACACATGGGAATTTCACTATGTCTAGAGCTGTATACCTTTATATATATATATATCTGTATTTGCTTAATGATGGAAATCTAGTTGGATGAGACTGTTGAAATTTTGCCTGTGCAAATTTTCAGTAGCTACACCTGTACCTCTAGTTCATAATGCTGGGTCACTCTGCAGACATCATTGAAGGCAAAAATTTTGAACCAAGTTTAAGAAACCTTGTTGTAACTGTATTTTGACTTGGAAGAACCAAACCAGATTTTGGGGAACACGCTTACCAAACTGTGCTTTTGCAGAGTATTAAAGAAATAATTGAAGTTTAAAAATTTGTGAACTATTACAATTAACAATATGGCACTTGCTGTTTCTTTTTACTCTATTCAGTTTTTAGATGTGTTTTAAATTTGTATTATGGATATCTTATGTGTCTGTCTAGGTGAAGGTGATACAACTCCTACTACAACCAGCTTGGATGGTAAGTTTGCAGATGTACTGTGCGGTGCATGTATGGTATCCTGTAAGACTAGCCATTTCTTAATGATTGGGAAGCAAAAGAAAGATCAGTTAAAGATACAAAAATACATACAGCTTGGGAAAAATTGCTTTTACAAAAGGAAAATGTAGAATAGATTTATTATACTGCTTTATCTATTCTCACTGCCCTGTCTTGCCAGTGGTGAGATAAGGTAATGATTTTCAGTGTTTGCTTTATAACTATGTAAATCTCCATAATAAACCTATTTAAATATATGTATTTTATATTCCCTATAAATATTTATATAGATTGACCCAGCTTCACTGAACTAGTTTCGATGCTCTAGAAATATATTTCAGTAGCGCAGGAAAGCGCTATTATCCATAATAATATTGACCTTCTTGTGGTCCTTATGTGCAACTGTGCAGGTTTCCTATCGCTTTTTTTAGTAAAATGTGATCTCTGGACCTGCTTTCAGATACTGCCATTCCTTGTGCCTCAACAAAACATTTGAGAGTTGTAAATGGAATCCCAACACAAACTAACGAAGGATGGGTGGTTAGTTTGACATACAGGTAACTATCACTTCGATTAGAAATACATCTACTAAGATATTTGTTTGGAACTGTAGAAAAAGTTCACCATAATAAGAATGCTTCTAGATTGCAGTTAAATCCTGTATAAGCAGAAAATCAGCATTCCTGGAGCATCAGGAGATTCCATACTATTCATGCCATCAGTGAAATATTTCTATGATGTTCATTATTACTAACTTACACACATGAGCTTGTAAAGCATTTATAGCATTCTGCTCTTTCAGTTAGCTACTGCAGACCTTTTCATAACATTGGCTCAGCATCCAGCATTAAACTGTTTATTTTAGAGACTGCTACCAAAAAAA